GCATCTGCAAGAGACTCACTTCACCTATAAGGACACAGACGGAAGTGAAGGAAGAGAAAAGATACGGGGGGAGGAAGGGATGGGAAGGAAAAGAAAAGTAAAAAGAGTTGACACATTTTATCTTCGTGCACCAACTCCGCACAGTGGCCATCATGTACTACAAGTGTGCACTAATAAAAAAGTTTTCATTTTTTTAAAAAGAAAAGGATAGTCTATGCAAGTGAAAACCAAAAGAGCAGGAGTAGCTATACTTACATAAAACCGCCATGAAAGGGCTTGGGATTTAGCTCAGTGCTTCTGCCGCCTGCCTCGCAAGCACAAGGACCTGAGTTCGATCCCCGGCACCAAAAAATAAATAAATAAACAAAGCTGGGGCCAGGTGGAGCCTCGCTCCTGCTGGGAGAAGAGGCCTGCCCGGCAACTGCAGCACATAAAATAGACGTGAAGTCCAGATCTGTAATAAATTACAAAGTGAGTCATTATCTAATAATAAAGCAATCGATTGAGCAAAAGATTCAACATATACATGCACTAAACATCAGAACACTCAGATATACAAGGCAGATATTAATACATATGAAGAAAGAAATAGGCTATAATACAATTATAGTTTCTCTTTCAACAACAAGTTGAATACCAGGCAGAAAAGCAATAAGGAAACACTCTCTGCACCCACAAGGCTGAGGCAGGAGGGCCATAAATTTGATTCCAGTCTGCGTCACCTTGTGAGTTCAAGACCAGCCTGAGCTGGCCTGAGCTTTAATTAATTAATTAATAAGCAAATAAATTAGAAAACGAGCAAAACAAGAACTAACCAAGCTCAAAATTGGTAAACAATGAAGAATAAGAGAGTAGAAACCCAATTTTAAAAGACCGACCGAATGAAAGCTGCCTTTTTAAAAACAAAGATCCAACGTTAGCCAGACTGAGAAAAAGGAAAAGACTTAAAAAGAGAGAAAGGATGAACAGGAGCTATGGGGAAAGGGGTGGGAAGTCAGACGAGGGCGGCAGGGAAGGGCCGCGCATCACGGAATCCACGGGTTTCTGCTCCGGTGGCGGAGGGCAGGTCCGTGAGGTCTGCGGTGTTGGACAGAGCGCGGGCTGGCATGGGCCGGTGGATGGTTGCAGACGACGCACTGCAGCAGCCTCTCCGGACACAACCCAGGGTGCAATTCTGGGTTCTCCCCAGCCGCTGAGCCTGGTGGCCATCGGGCTACCTACAAACTGGGTTCTCTTGGGCTAGGCCCCAGGGGATCTTAAACGACTTTCCCCGCTCCCGTCCCAGACCCCTCCTCTCACCCCAGAGAGGCCCCTGCAGCACTGGCACACAACTCTGAGACTCACAAACCCAGAGGGCGGAGATCAAGGATGTAGGAAACTGAGCACGTAGGTAAGGTAACCGGAACCAGTAGCTGGAGTTGTTCATATGGCAAATGAGGCCATGTTGGCTCTCGGGAGTTTTGGTTTGTTTGGTTTGGCTTAGGGTTTTGGGGGACAGGATCTCAGCCTGGCCTTGCATTCACTGTGCAGCCCAGGTGGCCCTCAAATTCACAGCAATCCTCCTGCCTCAGCCTCCTGAGTGCCGGAATCACCACATCTGGCCCATGTTGGTTTTTATTCATGTAGTGTCTATTTTCTTGCTCAGCTGTAATATGTCAGGCACTGCAGATTGTTTATGCATCAAAACTGCCACTTCTCTTTAACTATTCTGATCTTATGCCTTTATTGGAAAATAATAGGACATTCTCCAGAATGCACAGGGGAGCAGAAGCTCTAAGACCTATTCTCAACTCTGCAGAGATTTGTCAGGTTCACTAACATGCCATACCTTTCGGTATTTGATTTTCCTGTGAATCTAAAAACAAGATGAATTTTTTTGTTTTTTGGTACTGGGGATCAAATTTGGGACCTTGTGCTTGTGAGGCAGGTGGCAGCACCACTGAGCTAAGTCCCCAGCCCGGAAAAAAATTTTAAACACTAGTAATCCATCTCATTAAAAATTGATGGTTACTATTCACACTTACTCTGCCCATATTGCAAAAATATTCTATCATGAAGTATAGTTTATCTGATTCTTCTTTTGGGTGGATACCAGGGATCGAACTCGGGATCTTGCACTTGCAAGGCAGGCAGCAGAACCACTGAGCTAAATCCCTGGCTCTGATTTTTAACAGGCCAAAATAAACCGCAAGCCATCAGAAATAGCATTTACCTAAGCACAGAGTGTTCAGCTGGGAGCCCTGACCTCGGGGCTGAGGATTTAGCTCAGTGGTGCCGCTGCCTGCCTTGGCAGCACGAGGACCCAAGTTGGATCCCTGGTAGCAAAAAAATAAATAAATGAATAAATAAACTGTCATGTTTCAGACAAGTCTGGATACCAGGCACTGGAGCCCGCACTCCTGAGCATTCTGTTTCCCTGAAACTTCACCAGATTCATCAGAAATGCCAGGGACTTATATGTTATCTTGGCAAGTCCTAGCTTCAAATAAAGAGACTCTTAAATGTGAAGGTGTCTCAAAACAATGGGGAATAGTGTTTCCTGAGAATCCTAACACTTCCGTCAAGTTGATCTGCCAAACGCCAGCGGTCTAGACAATTTACAAATCATAGAATCAAGGTGAGTCTGTTCAGTAGATCCATCATTTAAAACAGAAAAGTTCCACGGATACAACTGAAAGAAAGCATCAGTGTGAACAAAGAGAAGAAAATCCTGTGGCTTTATCTATGTGTGTGTTCGTGCACTGACTCATTAGGCAAAGAATTTGAGTCAGTAATGGCTTTTGGGGTCATTAAATGCCCTACCCAGCCGCCGATTCTGAAAAGGCTCAGGGATGCATCTCATAAGTCTTTAATTCTGAAGCTGAACTTACATAATAAAGAAGAGAGAAATAATAGCAATTATATCAAGGAGAAAGTTTAAAAAAAAAAAAGCAAGCTAAAAGAAACCAAGATTGAACATCGTAGTCATCAGAAGCTGTCTCAATTAAGAACCAAATGTTTAGCGAACACAAAGCACGAGCCCAAAAAAGCTACAGCTTAGATCCCAGCGGTCAGAAGACTCCACAGGGCCCGGCAAAGTTCAGAGACGAAAGCTCCTGTCAACTCCTGTCCTTCTTCATAAATAAAGTTCTTTCCCCTAAGCTCCGACGCTTTCAGATTCTATCAGATTTCTTACACCATTGTTCCACACCTCATAGCCCCTCATTGTCAAATGCCAGCCTTTCTGTATGGGAGAGAGGGTCCACTTCATAATTGTTTGTTTGTTTGTTTGTTTTGGTACCGGGGATCAAACTCAGGACCTTGTGCTTGCGAGGCAGGTGGTGGAACCACTGAGCTACGTCCCCGGCCCCCACTTCATAATTTTTAAAGGGAGAAAAACTGCACAGTTGCCATCCTCCACACCTCCGTAGCTCTTGACCGTAGAGTTTAGCCTCCTCTGGGATGGTAATGTGGGAACAGGATAAGGCACAATGACCCACATGTTCTGCTTTTACCACCTTAGAAGGAAGGGTGTTATGAGAATCGTTTGCAGATTAGCAATTTAAAAGCTGGTAAAACACTTTGCACCTCTTAGAGTGCTATTTCTCTAAATACAAAGAAGAGTAACTTTCTACTGCAGTTAAAAACAAAAAACAGCACAGATAGACCCACATAAATACTAATGAACTAACTAACATTTAACAGTGTGTTCCAGTGAAAAGTATTAAGGCAAAACTAAGAGATGGCAAAACATTGGGTGACACATGTAAAAATTAAAGCGTGCACATGATTTAACAGAGACTGCCAAGGTAAAGACGAAAGTTTTAAAGAAAAGTCAACTACTTGAGTGTAAAGCTAAAGAGGCCAAGAAATACGTTTAGAAGCAGCCAGGCCAGTGGTGAACCCAAACCCACGGCAAGCACACTGCAGAGGGCTGTTTGTATCACTGAAGGCTCTAAAATGTTCACCATCACCGAATTCTATTTTTAAAAAGACATGGTTTGGTTTTGTTTTTTTTTAATGATGATAAAATAGGTCTGGGGATGTAGCTCAGTGGTAAACCACTTGCCTAGCACAAGCAAGGCCCTGGGCTCAATTCTCAGTACTGGAAAAAGAAAAAATATATATATATCTGTAGAGTACGCTTTGCATTGGCACTTGTCAGTGTGTATTTCAGCGGTGTTTTTACTCGCTTTGTGAGGCAACCTGCATATCTCCAGAATGCTTTTCCTGCAGCAGAACTAAAAGTATCCATTGGACAAGCAGTCCCCCGCCCTGGCGAACACTGCTGTGCTTCCTGTCTCTGTGAACTTGAGGACTCTGGGAACCTCATACAGGTGGAATCGTTCAGTCTTTTTGTTTTTTAAAAAAGAGACACTTTTAAACCAGACAAGTTCCTAGCAGAGGCGAAAATGGGGTGCACCATGGAATAAGAACACCACGAAGCAGAGAGCGAGCTGCTCCCAGATTTCAGGATCCCCAGGGACCCCCGGCTGTAACATGAGTCCCCGAGAGTAGATACAGACCTTCTTGCTACACAGCTCTTCAACAAAAGCCGAAGATCCCAGAGAAGAGTAGAGCGGAGGAAACCGCAGGGCTGAACCGCTGTGAAATGACTCCTGGAACAACAGGGCTTGCTAAAGGCAGGTGCAGATCCTCTCCTCCGGGTAGTGGCAAAACAGACAGGAGAAACTGGCACCCTCTCTTGATGTCCTGACAACCAAACTCTGCTCCGTAGCTAAAACAGTCTGCTGGAAACTTGTCCCATCCCTCTTAGACACACTGCTTGAATAAACACGTCCCTCCAATCTGCTAGGTAGTAACTGAGTGGGACACTAGCCTCTAGTTCAGGTTTTTCCTAACAGTGAAAACATCCTTTGATCCTGAAATACAAAGATACTGATAACCCAACAGCCCAAAAATGTGACAGCCCCAAAAGAATGGTCCAGTTGAAGCAATCAGAGGGAATGATGCTTGTTTAAGTCTGAAATTAACGCTGATGTTAAAGCTCTGACAATGACATGAACCTAAAGTTCCATGTTGGGAAAGTTTCCTCTTCCTCCCATCCAGTACATTAATTACATCTGATAATCCAGGGATGTTCTCTTCCATTGAGAAATCACGAAGCAAATTTAATGGAGTTTCATATTTTCAGAAAGGAATTACCAGTCATGAAAACCTCTCTGGAAGATTATAATTCTGCATTTTTTGTTTTGTTTTGTTTTGCTTTGTTCCACCTTTTTTTTTTTTTTTTTTTTTTTTTT